ATTTTTAAATCAAACTTTCTTTAAGAGAGTTTCTCAAACTTAAAGAAAAAATCTAAAATTTCATTTATTTTCTTTGTGAACGCAGCATGAAAACAAACCCACTACCCAATGAGGTTATGAAATAACTGGATGGTTAAGAACACAGTGGGTTTGGGTGAACAGCCAGTAGGGCAGGCAGCTGGGAGTCCTGGGCTCACCACCCTGGGCCTGCCAACAGCAGGGGCGCTGCTCCTCCATGTCCACCCTGCGCCAAGACAGTTGAGCACATTGTGATGTTTCACGTGCTTAAAATAAATATTTCCCAAATTAAAGAAACTAAATATGCTCATGTCTCCCTTCCTCTCTTTTTCCTCTTAAAATGCTGAAACCATCTCAGAAGGCCTAAGAGGATCGTGGAGGTGGCAACCAAATGCCACCCCCATCTCTGATGTCCCTGGGCTTCCTCAGGGGCCTTCCCTGAAATCTGAAGGGCAGTCTGGGATACTGCGACCAAGTCAAAGCCCTGCCAGCAGGTCAGAATCCCTGGCCCCACCCTAACCCCCAGTTTTATTCATTCAACATCTCACATTACAAATATTTAAAAATATCCCAGTGACCAGGAAAGCTGCATGCAGGGAAAGACAGTCTAGAAGCCAACAATCCCGCAGTCCGCCTGCCTCAGGGTCAGACCTGCCTCCAGTCCTGAGAAGGCTGCACTAGTGGGAAGAAAAGAGGAGACGTTACCTCTGACAAAACAGGAGATTCTCAGGTCACATGTTTTGTCACAACCAACCCTTAACCTGGAAGTGTATAGTCTAAAAATATAAATACGAACACATTATAGCACTCAGTAGTCTATACCCCCCATGAACCAACTCAAAGGTGATATTTCTGATTCACATGATGCAGAGACCACGATCCCAGAGGCCATATCCTGTCACCTGGGGTCTAGAGAAAACTAGGCCTTCAAAGTCAGACGAGACTTGCTTTTTGAACTGGGAGTATAGCTCGGTGGCAGAGCATGTGCTGAGCATGAGTGAGACCCGTGGTTCCATTCCCCAGCACCAAAAAAAGGAAAAAAAGAGAGATTGTTTTTAAGTCCTCTGGCAGAGGAGCCAGAAATCTTTCCTGACAAACACCCCAAACTGAAACTCCCGGATGTGGACTTCATTACGTTAACATTTGTTCTTTTACTTTTTTTTTTTTTTTTTTTTTGACATTTGGCCTTAGGCAGGTGGCTGAACACTCAGATCCAGGCTGAGAGGGCTACAAATAAAAGGAACTCTGGGGCCTGTGAGCCAACAGCCCGCTCAGGGACACCGCAAGCCGCCCACATTTCCAGGCTGAAGCCAGCAAGGGGCGTTCGCCACGGGCACCCCCACTGAACAATTTTCCTTGTCGGTTGCCCTGCCTTGGTCCAAAGGTATATCTAATATTTTTTTAATCGATATTTTCCCAACCACAGAAACATAATGTACTTATGTTGAAAAGAAATATTAAAAGAAATCTGAGTTAAAAGTTTTATTCATTCAACATCTCACATTACAAATATTTAAAAATTATATGCATACTGGTATAAATAGTCATTTGCAAACTATTTAATAACATTAATTTTCCACTAGCACTTCAACAAATGAACTCTTTTAAAAAAGGAACTGTGTTATATAACTTAAGAGTAGAACATACAAAAATAGGAACTTAACGTGAAAATGACTTTAATAAAAAATGAATTACCCTTATTTAAAATGCTATAATAAATACTACAACCTCCCCATACACAGTAAAAACTATATGGAAATTCAGCCAAGTAGTACAATTAACTGACACACTTAAATAACTTTTCCTTCTGATAATATGAGCAATACACTGGGAAAAAAATTAGGGATTAGTAAAAACTAGACACCCACTTGCTAAAAGTTTCACTTCCAAAAAATATAACAAAAATCTGATGAAAATTATAAAAACTAATTATACTTTAAATTTTAAAAATATAAAAAATAAAAGTTGAATACAATATTGTCCCAATTCTTACAATGCTATCAATCACAGTAGCTTTAAAATAAGATAATAAAATAAAGCAAATGACCAAAACCTCTTTTATTCCATTTTTAAAAATAATCTCAAATTTACATTAGTAGAAAGATTGATTTCTGATTCTTTTCTTTAGAAACACCAGCAAGAAAGAGGATTACTCTTAACAGTAGAAAATGACATTTTTAAATGTCTGCAATTAAAAACAAAGAATTACACTGCAAAGATCTTTCAAAAGTTTGAAATAAGTATTGCACATAACTTGAAGTTAACTTGCCACAATTCATCACATTCAAGTTTTAAATCACCTTTTAACAGAAGATTCAACTCTTCAAAACAAAAGGGGTGAGTTATCAAGTCTTTCCAACAGCACTCTCATAAAATGCTAAATTCATTCACTGCAAGTTTTATTTTGCATTCTGCAGAGGTCTGTGTATGGAGAAGTATATATATTATACCAAAGCGTGGGGACCGGAAAAGGGAGGGCGAGGGTTCCTTTACATAGAAAATAATCAGAAACACTTTATTTTACATTGCAAAAATAACCATGTAATTACTCTGTAACTACATTGTAAGTACATGGCTGGTGCCATGCTAGTGCGCTAGAACTACATGCTTGGTAAATTGAAGTGAGACCCTAAAATCTGTAAACTAATTACATGTTAATTATGTTTGAGTTACATGGTAACTCCCAACTACAATCCCATGTAATCTGAAGGACATGTAATCAATAAAATTCAGAGTAATAGATAATCATTGTTTATGCCCTGTAAATTGAAGTGTAACCAAATAATCTGTAAACACGCTTGTCACACAATCACAAGTAAATATTAGTAGAATAACAATTTCTTACATTAGTCATGCATACTAACATTACACACCTGTCCCATGGCAGGCTATTTTTTTTTCCTTATATATAATTTAAAAGAGCAGACATCTCTGAATCAAACACTTAACATCAATTTATTAAGATTAAAAATGGCTAAACATTCACCAAAAATGTCTGCGTTTTATGAATAATTTTAAAAACTTAGTAAGAAGCTGTAGACAATTTTGTTATTTTAAATTTCTACCCTATGCTTATGCATTTAATTTTTTTTCTTTTAGGAACTACAGTGTTATCTGTCATTTTCATGCGAATTTTTTTTTTCATTAATTTGTGACTTTACATAGACTATTTCTTAAATTACAGGCACACCAAGAGCTGGTGCCGGGGAGGGATGTTTAAGCAACATGCTTTCTCTTCTCTGCAGACTCTAAAATAGCATTGCCAGTGCACAACATTCATAATTTAAAATGTATGCAGAGCACTGAAATGTATAAAAAGCAGAATATAAGAAAATAAAATTTATTAAAATTATTTATATTAAAAAAATGAAGTATATGAAGATCTCTCAGTAATAAAAGTACAAAAAGCTACTCTTTGCAATATGAAAAATTGAGGTATTGCATAAAGAGATATCCCGTCAGTGAAAAGTGTGCCTAAAAATGTTCACTGTTGGAAAAACAAGATATACAAAAGTAGTGCATAACAAATATACATTATGTGCATGACAAAATAAGTTAGCTACAAAAACACTGTACCGAAATTCAGCAGGTCATGTACAAAGGGGAAAATTATTATCCAAAGCTAGTTTTCAAACAGTGTTGTTTCTTGTTAACTCACCACACCTGTTTACTGAGTAGGAACAGCACATAGCACACCCCAAGCCACCTACAAGCATGGAAAAGAATCAAAAGAGGCAAATGAACATTCTGATCAGAATCATGTGGTTCAGGAGAAAAGGAAAACAAAAGTCCCTGACCAGCTAGCTACGCGAGAGCACCCTCCATCGCATGACTGCTTTACTGTTCACAGGGAGTTCTTGAAAAGCAGCTCCCTCTCTGTGTTAGACTCCTAGACAGCAATGCCTCCATTTTGACCTTTGGAACTTAACAGGTATAGTTCATTAAAGCCTGTATCAAAAATAAAGGACTGCTTTTCCTAAAGATAATCAGTGGGGGTCATCAGCCAGATGGTTCCACAGCAGTGCTGGGCAAGTCTTTGGTTTTGAAGGATCCAAGATGGTAACTGTTAGGTAGCACAACTAGCAAGATTGCCGTTATGTTGTTGTTGTTGTTGTTTACTGTTTTGCACACTGATAAGAATCCTTTGAATTGTTGATAGGGCATTTAATAAAAGAATGTCAATTAAAATAAAAGTTACTTCCATGACTAGGACTTCAAGAGACTATTTTAAATTTACTCCTGAAGCATACTGTTCAACACATAAGAACGCCTTTCGAAGCAAGAATTTTATTTATAAGAAAGCATGCATTACTTGATGAAGTTGGCACTTCAAACACTGACTATGTCCCATGCTAAGTTCTGAAACTGTAAGGTTATTTTATAGGAAGAGTAAGATAAACATACGTACCTTTGCACAGATTTACACAGTTACTTAGTTCAACAGTGCAAAACACTTTGCAACTACTTAACTTTTTTTAAAACTTTTTTCCATTTTCTATGTTACAACTAAATTACAGGATATCCAAAGTAAGTTTAAATCTAAAAGTAAGCCAATCAGCAGCCAATTTGTATATTGTTTTTTTGTCTCCGGGTTTTGGCTACGAGTGTTCTGAAACAAAATTAAAAATGGAATCCTTGAGGTATCTCTAGATCTGTTGCTTTTAATGTCAAAATGGAGAGCAAAGGCTGACACCTGACGAGTGTTAGTGAATTAGGATATAGAGTTTGTATATAATATCAAAAACAAAATGCACACATTTGTTCTTCAGGAGAGGAAATGCTAGTTCTCCCACCAGTTGTCATGAATTCTAGCTTTGGTAGGTTTCCTGGGGCTGTGACCAAATAAGTCAGTTAAATAAATAAGTGCACTCCCCTCAGTAGTAAATTCACCCAATTCTTACATTCTGAATTTTTAAAATTTTTTAAATATTTGAAAGAAAGTAAACCTAGCTCTGCCTACTTGACTATTTTTTCTGATGTCCTAATAACGCTGAGGCAGAGTGAGTTCTCTTCAGCCTCAGGACCCTTAATATGAATTACAACGCTGCTCACCCTTGCTAAGGCATCTGTGTGCTGTAACACGCTCTTTCCTGGTAGTGACTGTTCACTTCCTCCATTGCTGTTAAAAGCATTAGAAGGGGATGGAAAAAAGAGAGAGAAAAAAAAAAGGAAGAAAAGGAAGGAAAAGGCAGAAGCACTTCCCTGGGGGGAACTGTGTCAGAACAGACCGATAGTGTTCTTGTTGCATGGTTATCTTAATAAAAGTATTCTTATATGTTATACTATTAACAATAATTTAATTAAAAACCCAAAATACTCTATTGTTTCATTTCTCTGTTAATATTTCTCTCTCTCCTCTAAGAAAATGCTGCAGGAAGTTGGGACCCTCTTGGTCTCCAGCAAAGCAAGAGAACAGAACTTCCACGCAGCAGGTGCCAATACAAAAAGGAGTTCAGACACGTTGTTTGCAGTGACACAAGGATCTACAAAACACCTATACCATAGGTCACTCTTTTCATTATACTATTGTTAAGTTACACACTGCTACAAAAGGACATGCCAGCGTGAAGAGGCTGAGGAAGGGTCAGAAGGACGAAGAGTGCACTTATTCTGAGGCCTGGAAACGAGCACTGTAGTTAGGTAGCCTTTAGTTCCAGCGGAATGAAATGTGCCGAGGGCGGTCGCCGCCTTCCTTCACCAGGGGCTTGTGGAATTCCCTGCCAGCACGAGAATGAATAGCAGCCCAGCAATATTCACAGTAATACTGCAGACAGGTAACATTAGCACAGAAAAATGGGGCGAATTTGCCCCCGCAACGGGCCCCCTGACATTCATCACACAGCTGATCATCCAAGACATATGGCTTAACTTCCACCTGCAACGAAACAATAAAGAGGGAGTTCACATTTGTCGTGACTGGACCAGGCACCTCTTACCAGGAATACAGTGCGGTTCCCTCCACCATCTGGATGAATCTGTGCCAACGCGCCCAAAAGGGAAGGCCAACAAGTCCTTTAGTGCAATGAAGACGGACCATCTTTTAAGAACTTTGGTTATAAGACTTTTACACCTTTTGCTTTTATGGTTTCATCTTATTAAATAAATATCCTTCAGAGGGAAAAGAGGATCTCACTAGAAATCAGAAAGTGAAGCCAGCTGTTCAGAACAGCACACTATGAGATTAAACTCATGGGGAATTTTCAAACCCTTGTTTTCACTAGTGGATCTGGACTTTTGTCATAGGTGCAATTGTAATTTAAACAAAACCTATGAAGAGCTCCCAGGTTCCATAAAATAGCACTCCATGACCGTGACCAGTGGGAAGGGGCCTGACTTCTGCATTACCAGCATCTGAGTTGTCACCGAGTGGGCTCACAGTTTCTATTTAACAGCATCCATATCAAGGGTCATAATCACAACCCTGGAATGCTGGTGAAACAGGACCTGGCCAGGGCACTCACAATCTGAAACCTTGTTTAGTTTTGTCAGTAAGAATGGTTTACTTGAGTCTAAAAGTCAGAGGTGAATTTATAAAACTGGGCTGTTCAGTACTCAATAGGCCAACCTGTCATTGGAGCCTCTCGACAAATAAAAGTCACATGGCTCTCAGMTAGAAGACAGCTGGTCATTCTTAGTGCAGGAGACACCCGTAGTGGAGGTTCCCTCACATCACAGTAYTGGTACCACTGGGGCCATCCAGTTCTGAAAGGAATCCTCACAAAGGTTAGCCAGGAAGGAAGGGACAGGAGTGACATGGAAGATGCCAAGGGCAGACAGAGCTGGTCCTGAGGCTTGGGCCTCTAGGCCACTCAATGTCATCTACAGAGTGGCAAGAATATGTCACAGGATGTCATTGTAGAGGACATAAATTGAGCCTGAATTTCTGATGAACACAACTCCGAAACTTACAGTAGAAATTTATATTACAGTGAGGTGCAGATATTTTTCAGTGTGAATAAAAAGCAAATAGGCATGTTAACATACACTGCAATGAGTCTTGCCCCTTTTACCGGAGTTTATAATGTACACCTTTCTGCTTAACGTAATCACAGTATTGTAAATGACCACTATTATTTCAAAATGTTTACTGCCACTGAAGCAGAAAACACATGATGTGAAACATAAACGGTGTGTGTAGACCACTACTGACTTGCCAGCTTCCACACCTCGGAGTGAGAATGGCACGGGAAAACCAATCAATAAAGACTTTAGCACAAGGCCCCCGAGTGCTGGGTATCAACATCAGCGCTAATGAGATTGCTGGTCTGCCGCAAAATAGGGCTTGCACCAGAATGCACCTCAGCACGCTGCCTCCCTCATGAGGAAGGTCTTTCTCATCAAAAACCATTGTCGGCTGAACCCAGCACTGCACCTGGTCATGCAGTGGATTCAGATTCTGGTGTAAATTCCTATCTCACCACAACCTACTAACAGTTTCTGGCCTGGCCTTTGGCTCACAGGCCACATATTCAGTAATACTGGCATAAAATATGGTTCTATCAGAATGTGGGCTCATGAGTACGGTCACTTCTTATCCTAGGCACTAAAACATCTGTGGAATGCATGAAACACAAAGAAAAGGAATAAATCTGTGGAAAAAAAATAAAACATAATAGAATACAGAGTGCTGATATAATATACTGGAAAAAGGTTTCTTTCCCAGTCTTGTGATTCAGAGGGTAAATCCAACAAAGAGGAATTTAAAAAGTGTTGAAAATAACGCTAAGTAATACTACCTAATTTTAGGTGGAAAAACAGACTGCTAATAAAAAGATGATTCCTTCTATTTCATCTATTACAATGAAAGATTTCTAAGCAAGGTGGATCTAGAAGTGAATTAATTCAATAACACGTTACCACCATGCATTGAGAAATAGACTTACAGGGGTATTCATGATGTTCCAAGATTTTTTTAAAAATCAGGAGATATTATATGCATTCATGTTTCCATAACTGAGGATTCAGTAAATTTTTATTGAATGAATGAAAGGATGGGGTGACAGTCTAGGAAAGATTAAATTAACTCAAGTAAAGTTGTTATGGTGTCCAGTGTCCTAGTCCAGCTATCCAAAAATCAAAGAAAAGAAATTCAGAGGCAATTCTTAGAGCCCACATGTGACTGACTCTATAGGCAGAACTGCCAGCTGTCAATTACAGCAATACAAAAATCCCCCATTCAGCAGCCTAGGACTTACCCGTTTATCTATCTCTCCGTGCTGCAGCTGGACAAAGCGGGCACTGATAGCAGCTATGTAGCTCTGTTGATTAGAGAATGCCACTCGCCCAGCTCCTTTTGGGTATTTCAGCTCAGGGTCCGTGTCGATCCCAGCATAGCACACACCTCCATACAGCCGATCCATTATCATAGCCAGCTCCACTGAATGAGGGGAGCAAAGGGAGCATTTAAATCAGGAAAATTCATCTGGTTCATCGACGGTTTCCTTCAAAGTAATTCATTTTCCTCCGAGCTCACATTATTACAGTCATTATTAATTAAACTCATTACTATGACCAGTAGTACAGTGGGTTAATCATCAATTTTTTAATTGTGGGCAGGGGCTCTGTGGTTTTACATGTTCTTTTCTAATCTTCACAACAACTCTAGGAAATAGGTAAGAATTTCCTAAGGAAATTGAGGCACAAAGATGATCCATCTGTCCAAAGTCTCAGATTGTTAAGTGACAGTCCTGGGCTTGGCAACCAGTTTTGCTTCCTATCCATGTTATTGTTGTATAGTCACCAGTTAGCAAGGTCTTTCTTATTATAAATAACTAATTAAACACTAATTAAGAGGGGCTTTGCAGCCTCTCTCCATCAAAACCGGTTACCTTTTCCTATAGTCTAGCTATTCATCTATTTCTCATATAAAATTTGAAATAATTAAAGCATCCTTTCCATGAACTGTTACAATTCTGAAACTGCATTTCTGTTCATCTTACGTTCTTTACCTCATTCATGCTATTAAACCCCAAGCTACTAGATGGTGGAAATGTAATTTCTTCTGTAATTACTACTCTAAAAACATGATGCACTGCTGAGAGCCAGTAAACAGCTCTCAGCAAACAGCTGAGCTCAGTAAATAGCTGCTGAGCAACTGAGGACATGGGAAACCAGCACTGAGTGGCTCAATACATAAGCTACTTTGCAAGGGCTTCTTTTTTCTTCAGACAATGATGAGAAAGATAATGTGAGCCCTTCACTTCGGTTACCCCATTCTATCCAAAATAACCCTACAAAGCACATGCACTTTCCACTGTCTTGACAGATGGGGAAATTGAAAATCAGAGAAATTATGTCATTTGTCCAAGGCCACTCAGAGCAGAGCATGTAAATTCAAACCCTCACAAAACTGATTGCTAGAACTCTCACTCTTAGACAATGAGGTCAAACACTCATTAAGAGTTCATCCTAATGATCTTTATATTTCTTATTTTAAAGGGCAGGGAGTGTTTTTGGATGTTTGATCATACCAGCTCGTAATGGTCGAGGAACACCCCCAACAAATATAGTTTTTCTTGGGTCAAGTGGCTGTGAACCATCCATCACAAAGTCACTGTCACTGAGATTCCAGGGCCGAATCTGTACCTAGGGAGTGCAGAAACCAAAAGTGTCTCATTATCAAAAGGTCTAAAATTATCGAAGAGTATTGTATCTTTAAAAGTCAAAATCTATGTCATGACAAATCAAAAAAGGTATAAAGCTCAAAGACTTAAAAATAATCTATATCCTAACCCTTCATTTCATCTGTTAGAGCAAACTAAACCAAGGTGGAAAGTTCAATTTCAATGTCTACTATAAGCTAAATCACTTAGCAGGTCCTTATTTATTTGTAAGATAATTAGCTCTTTTTCAGCTTATTGGGTCTTCTACTCTATCCAACCCCTCAATATCTGCATAACTAAAAATTAGCATGGTATCTGACACTGATCAGCTTATAGTGATAAACTAGGATTGAATGTCCAAATCAACATATGTACAGAAAATGCAAATTATTTCTGATTTTAATAAATCTGTTGCATTATTTCAAAAAACATTTCAAAGTAAAAATATCACTGATATCTGTAATAAACCATTTTGTGATAAAGACTCAGTATGTCAATCACAATCAATCGAGAATCATGTACCTCATTTAAATTTGTTTGCATTTACTAACTGCTACAGGTGCCCACACCAAACGTAAGGTATTTCCAAATATGCACACCAATAATGTCTGAAGCCAGAGGTACCCAATTCAAACACCTATAAGAATTGGTGTGGAACATAAACAAGTCAAGCAGAAAGAATCCAGGCCACAGGAACTCAAAAGTATGTTCCTGACCCAGATACCAATACAAGCTCCACAAATCACTGCCTGAGTGGGCACCCCATGCTGTGCTCCTGCACCACTTTATCTGGATGATAGAGAAGTGTCTCTTCACTAACTGCTACCTGGCTGAGAAGGAACTGCTGATTGGTCAAGTTTATCACTACACTCCCTAATGATGAAATTCTATGATAAAGAAAAACTTCCAGGAAGAAAAAATAGCACCCAATATACCTTTACGAGAATACACATAATCAATTCTACTTTGGGAAAGCATCACAGKTAAAAAGTTAAGGATTCTTTGGGTAAAATCTTGATCCAAGAGAGGATAGAGATAGAAAGACATGGAACATACTTGTGATTTGAGTTTTATTCTTCAGAAGAAATTCAGCTGCTTTACCTTTGTAAAATGTTTTTTTTTTTCAAGTGAAGACTTACCAAATATTTCAACTAACTACACATTCAATGTCAAAATAATGTGCACGATATACAGAATGTCAATGTTAGGAACCTGACAATAACAAAAACTTTTTATTTAGATTCTACTTAACATGTTGATTAAGTTCAACAGACACATCAAGATGTTTTTCAAATACAGCAGATGGATCGAGGCAAAAACTAACAGCTATTTTACGCTAGACTGCACTTACTGGCTTATCCTTGATGGTGGGACTTGATACACACAGGTAGAGCTTTCCTTCTTCTTCAATGCATGCATCAATGAGAGCCTGAACAGAGCTTTCATCTTGAAATAGCAGGAATGCATAGCCTAAGAAAAAAAGAAGAAAGGGCTTATACTTTTTCCTATCTTCTTTGTGATTCTTCAAGAGATAGAAAGTATAAATTAATACCAAGGAAAGGAAAAGGAATAGAAAAATATAAAAAAATTTAAAACTTAATATTCATACCAAAAATCTGATAATATCAATGCATAATTCACTTTTGTACTAAAATAGAGTAGAATTGAATTTGAATTAAAAGTAAGTTATATAGAAATGTTAAAGATCACTTAGAAAAATATAAGCTGAAAAATAGGAAATGTTGCGATGAAGGTAAACATTTATGAAAAGGCTGAACGCTGAACAATATAAGGTTAAACTGTACTTGTATACTGAATCTTGGGAATTACCTTTAGGAGGAAAATAAGATTTGCTCTCTGCTTTATGAGGCCAGTCCACAATCAAAGGGCCGAAGCGACGAAAACTAGCTGTGATCTCATCTAATGAACAAGAAAAAAATTCAAATATTTTAGGGTTACTTTTTTAAAGTAGTAGTTTATTAACAAAAGCTTTAAATCTGCCATCTCTGAGAACAGTTCACAGAACTCCTTTCAGCCAGATTCACCAGCTATCAATGTTGGGCACATTTGCCTTCACCCTCTTCCTTCTCCCTTCCCCTTCCCCACTCCATCTGCACATGCATGAACCAATCTAGCAATCCACCCACACACCATCTTTTTCTGACAAGATACTCTGTAACCCCAAAACACGACAGTTGGTATCTGCTCAGAGCAAGGTCACCTCCTTATATACCAATATATAGAGTATTCACAATCAGGAAATCAACATGGGTACAACACTACCACCCAATTCACAGACTCCATTTACATTTCAAACTATCCCAACAATGTCCCTGTTTCCCCTTTTGATCCGGAGTTCTACCTAGAACATAGGCTGCATTGAGCCCTCACAACCCTGCAGCACTGGTCCTTTTTAATTAGGAACCGCTCCCCTTTCTTCCATTTTTCACATTCATTCTACAGGATGCTGCTATGCTCTGAATATCTGTGTCCCTTCCCCACCCCTGCCCAGATTCACATGTTGAAACCTAACCTCAAGCGTGAGGTATTTGGAAATGTGGCCTTCAGTAGATGATTGAGTCTTGGGGGCAGGGTCCTCATCAATGTGATCAATGCCCTTGTAAGAGAGGCCTCAGAGACAGTCTTTATCCCTTCTTCCATGTGTGCTTACAATGAAAAGATAGCTGCTATGAGGAACCAGCCCTTATCAGACACTGAGCCTGCTATGGCCTGGATCTTAAACTTCTCAGCCTACAGAACTGTGGGAAATTTCTGTTGTTAATAAGCTATTCAGTCTTTGGTAATTTGTGATAAGTCAAGGACCCTTGATGTGAGTCTGTACTCTGTTTACTAATGACCAGATTCATGCTACACATTTGAATACAAATACCACCATGATGACAGTCTGCTGTCCTATCCTACTACACTGGACATGTTAAGCTTGATCACTGGTCAAGTTGGTATCTGCCTGGGTTCTCCATCTCAAGGAGATCACTTCCCCCTTTGTATCTGATAAGTGTATTACAAAGAAATATTGTGTAGTCACCAATATCCTATTTCCTCATTAGCCTTGGCATCCTGAAGAGTCCTGCTTCTATCCACTACCTCAATGATGATCGCCAAATGATAATTACCAATTTTCATCATTCCTTCTACATTTACTAGTTAGGATTAAATAGTAATACTTCTTTCCCTTTTATTCATTTATTTATATCAACAAAGATTTTTAAAAATTTATTTTCTGAGATGTTGGAGATTGAACCCAGGGCCTCAAGGATGCCAAGCAGGCGTTCTGCCACTGAGCTACACCCCAGCTCTAGGCCTACTTTTTTATAAGTCATATAATCCAATTCTCTCCTTATTTATTTTGATGCTCACTTTGTCAAAAAATATTATCCCTGATTTTGCCCATAGGAACTTCCTTGTCCTCTGCCATGTCCCTACCATTATTTTTAAACACTTCCATAATTTGTGGCACAAGAAGATACTTGAGACTCATCCTGACCTTCCATTGCTCAAGCTCTAGAATCAACTATTTTTTTTTATGAAGTCCTGGTTCCTTTTGGTGGCAAAAGATACTTAAAAAACTAAAATTTGGGTGTGCCACAGGTTCATTACTAGTGAGTTTTCATTATTTCCAAGTCTGCCCAGTGGACAAAGCTAGAAAACAAATGAAATATGCACATGTACATGCATGTTGATGGCTATTTCTATATCTGTGTATTATAAAAACCTATGATCTTACATTAATATTCCCAGTTCTACTCTAAATTCTCAKTTTTTTCTAGCCTTCCCTCCATATTTGTAAGTTCCCTTCTCATGGTGAGAAACTTAGCTCCTCTGGTCTGCAACACCCTTATTACTTGTTCAGTATAACCAATCTTCCAGCCCCTGCTAGACTCCTCTGTCTCCTAGCTTGGTGCTCCGGCTTGGGTTGGCCCTGACTCCTGTACACACCATGCCTGCTGCTGCCAAGGCTCCTGGGCCCTGTGCACATACAGGAAAACACACCCCTTGACTTTGTCATTGCTCCTCTTATCAGCCCACCTCCTTGGACAGCAAGAAACCTAAGTCAGGCAGGAAGGGAGAAGGAAAGAAGGAAAAGATAGCAAAAAAAAAAAAAAAAAAAAAAAAGAGAGAGAGAGAAAAGTGAAGACTTGATCATACTTAACCATTAATTTAATGATATTATTTGTGCCTCATCATATATTTGGATAACTAGCAGGTAAATTCTAGGAAAATATATTTCCAAAAAGCTTCTGCAAAAAATTGGTTAAGCATTGTAAAGGAAACCTGATGAAAGTCAGGAAGAACAAAAAATTGAGATGGGGACTACGTTCAAATTCCATCCTGGAGGGACTGTTTTCATTTCCCCCCGACTGTGAAGCAGGACAGTCTGTTCTGCTCCGCCTGTTTCTATATTACAGGGGACTCATGTGAGACTGGTAAATAGGAGAATGACGTCAGCCGAAGATGGAAAAGAGAATGACAGAAAGCCTGGGCTCCAGAGATGCACATATAAGCCCCACTCTGCTCTAAGCACACTGGAATGAGGACCACCAGGGCTCTCTCACCACAGGTGCGTCTCCAACCCTGAAGGACATCTGACCACTTGCACGTCCTCAGGTCCAGAGGCCCGGTTCCCTCTGCCTCTTCTCACACTGCCCTAGTGGTTTGGGACATATTTAGTACTCCCTGAGGCTGCCCCTGCCATGCTGAGCTTCTTCCTTCAATTTTTGATCTGGAGTTCTACCCAGAACACACGCTGCATTGAGTCCTCACAACCCTGCAGCGCTGGTCCTATGAAGAGGCTGATCCCCACGGCCATCATAACATCCATGTCTGTGACATGTCCAGTGGTTAATTCTCTTTTTGTTCATGTTGCAGGTACAGATTCACTTGGTTTTAAATGTTCTGCCTCTATATTCCTCATAAATCCTGAAATTTTTAGAACATAATTCTATGGAACACAATACTCTTCAAGATATGCTCTCTAAGGAAAGGATAGAGATGGTTTCAGACTAAATTGAAATTTCCCCAAGACATTTCATTGTGTGTGTGTGTGTGTGGGGGGGGAACAAACCAAACCTTGTGTTTATTTCAATCTTTGACTTTTCAGAACCCTTACTGTCTCAGCCTTCCAAAAGACTGATCATCTTGTAGAAAATGAAGTGGCTTGATAAGTTTTAATTCCAGTCTAAATGGTGAGTTATTAAATATTATTATTGGACACAACAGATTTTTAGAGAAACCTGCTCTATTCTTAAAATATGAATTAGTTTACTTCCATGTCCATTCAGGAAACCAAGACCAAAGAAGTTTAGAAGAAAGCAACCAAGATATATGATCACTGTATGTCTACTTTGAATTTTACTTAGAGTTACTTAGATCCAGAGATGAATTGCGGATTCCTAGATAACTGGTCCCACTAACCCTTGGCATGGCTGGCCCCTGACTAAAGTCTCAGTTCACATTTCACCTCCACAAAGAGACTTTCCTTCACCACTTGCATCACTAGCTCAGGTCACCATGTTTGCTTTTCAATACTTACTCTGGTATTTTTGCATGTGTACATATTTTTAATGGGCCTTCCCTAACCAGAATATCAACTCTATGCAAGCAGGGACATTCCATCTTGTTTACTGTTGTAAACAAGCCTGAGGGTGGTGCACAGCATTTAGAAAGCAAGTAAATATTTGCTGAATGAATAACTTTTAAGATTCCTTTTCTTGTGCTACAATTGTAGACTACATTTATCAAAAGTTCACTATTAACCTAAGATTTAAAAGTCTGAAACAATGAACCGCACATTTATGAAGCACTTATAAAAGGTGGGAAAGAAAGATGGAGACATATAACTGAGTTGGCCAAGGCAGGATGAGCAGCACCACGTGTGCTCATGACAACAGAATGGCTGCCCGTTTCCCAGCGACCCACGCTCTTTCTCACTGAATACACCCCTTGCTTCAGCAGGTCCCCGAAGCCTGCCTTCCTCACCGCTGCACCTAGGCTCTGTAGGACAGGAAGGCAGGAGACAACAATGCCATGGAGTCCGAATTCCGGAGTCAGATGGCACCGCAGCTAGAAAGACGAGAGCCCTACTATGTGCCACCACAGGCACCCTACTTTTTCTAAATATACCTTCATCAATGTCAGGAGGCAATCCGCCCACGAACACCTTGCGAGAATACCGCTCGACCCGTTCCCCGTTCTGGTGAGTGAAGCAGTGAGGGGAGCCAAGGCCGCCATGAAGAGGCTGATCCCCACGGCCATCATCCAGGAACCCATCTTCCATTGGGAACAATGAAGACTGACCTGAAATAGAAAGCAGGACAGAAAGCTAACAGGAAATGCTGCTTGTCACTGATTACTATGCATAAGAACAAGGAAAGCAGCAGATCCAATAAAACTGCTTTTATTTTTCTCACTGAATAATAGGATCACTTAGATATGCTCTTTAGTCCCCATCACCTTTAAGTCCCAACTGAGTCAGAGAAAGTACATGGTTAAATAGAGGGCTGTTCGAGTATCCCACTGGGACCAAGAAGCCTCAGCGAGGTGAAAGGGAAGTCCAGCAGGAGAGAGCACTCCTTTGAAAGCAGTTGGCAGCAGACTGCACTGCCTTGGCAGGGCCCCAGGGCCGCCGGCACACTAGATATGGACACTAAGTATGGGATCTGACTGTAAGATGCTAAGCCCTTAAATTTCTTCAACAGATCAAATAGCACAGCCTGCCCAATTTCCTCTAAGAATGGGTTTAAAATGAACAAGTCAATTTTTAAGTGAACGCTCATTTTGTTTACCTTTACTAAGGGGATACAACCAAAACCCACCTACTATTCTATTGTTACCCAAGTTCACTGTCTGAATATAAGACCCACAGGCATGCTAAAGACACATTTGTTATTAGCTGAGTAATTATTAGCTCACCAAGGATGTTGTCTATTTCTAAAAACTAGTCACTAAATTTGTTGTTTGAAAATGATATTGCCAGAAAAGGAGAAAAGACCAGAGATGCCTCTGTGTGGACAGTCTTCCCATGTTTACCTGACAGAAAATAGGAACTTGTACACCATCAACAAAACACACAGCTACAAATAACTGCAAAATCTCTCAACCACTGTTTTTTGTCACTGTTCAGATGCCAATTTACATCTAAGTTCTACAAAAGGAACTTGCTAATGGGTCCTCTAAAACTTATTTCAAGTGCTCTTCCCTTATCAGAACATCCCAATACCCTTTTGCGGCCACCCTTGTCTTTAATTTTCATTACTAAACACAAACAATAACAGTATCTTTACTGCACATTTATCCTAAATACCATGTCAAATGAAGACAAAAAGTAATTGTAAAATTAGATATTGTTTTCTGAATGATCTTTAAAAATCACTTAGATTTTACATCTTAGCTATTTAACTGTCTTCTTGCTTGGAAAATGGCAAAACTATTACAGACAGCAAAAATAAGGTTTATTCAGGCACCTCTAGGAAATGAGTCTTTAAGATTCCCTAACACTTCTAGAGCTTCCCCCCCCCCCAGTATTTGAAATATATAGGAAGTCATTTATTTAGCTCAGCCTATTTTAAACCAAATGTTTTATGCTTACTTGGTAAAATCAGCTGACCCAAATTACTTTAAGTGAAATTGAGCCTCAAAGATAATGAGGTATTTTGAGACTAGTCTACATTATTGCTTTTAAATTTTTTTTCTCCGAAGAAATTCCCTCAAAAAGAAAAGGGGGGGGGAATCTTTAGATATAAGTAAGTTGAATATCTAATGTAATATAGGGAAGTCACATGAATTTAAATCAAAATCCCAGCATTCTGGCAATTTGACTAGAGCTCATTAACTCCTTCAAAACACAATGTCTGGAATGCCAACTAGGACACAGAGGCCATGGAGGATCAAAGCTGTGTTTCTGTGCTTTGCCTTCCCTTACCCCTTCCTTCCCCTCAAAGGCTATAGAAAGTGCAAGCTTGGGTCCTCTCCAAACACAACCAATACATTCAAAAGTTAGAAACAATAATGTTACCTCTCCTTCGCCCATATGTCCTTGCTGCATGTCAAATGAGAAGAAAAAAAAACAAAACAAAACAAAAAACAAACAAAACAAAACAAAACAAAAAAACAAAAAAACAACCTTTCAAACATTGTCAAAAGAATCAACTGAGATTTCATCTATCAGCTTTTGAAACAAAATTTGGCTGTATTCTTTATGTCCTGGTTAATGTTTCCAAAACAAGGAACTGAATGGTAAGAAGTCAACTGAATGCATTTTTTAAAAGTTCTTCAAAGACATTGTAAATCTTTACTGAATCTTACTTGTTTTAAGGGAAACTTTTGGCTGTAGTTGTCACCCAAAGTCCAAACCATTATAAAACTGAAACAGCATGTAACAAGATTTAAACCAACTAGTATATTAATCATATTTTTTCAGATTTTCCTGTTCACTAGCAATTTAGTAGATATACTGGTATTTAATTCATGTCTTTTCACCACTACAGGATAAACAACATTTTTACAGTATTTCTCAGTTCATTCCTAATAAAAAAAATCATAACAAATGAATATTTAAGCAATTTAAAGCTTCTTTTTAACCAACAATTTTTTGTGACCCTAATCAAATCTTCTACCAAACCCAAATGGTGAAAAGTAAAAGGCTGGGTATTATATCACCAGGTAGGCTATAGCCAAGGGGAAAGGAAAAGGGAATCATTGAATATCCAGGAAACAAGAGCACAAACCTTGAATCAGGAAATTTTGGAGAAACAAACAAATTGGCACTTAAAGCCCTGACAGTCAAAGCCCTCAATTCTGTACAACAAACTTTTTGTAAATGTCCTATCTTGCTAGCACTATGGATAACAGCACAAGGGCCTGTCCTCAAAGGACTGGCGACTTTATGTGTCACAGGCCACATAAGCCAACACAAGGATAATGTACCATGCCTGCTGCTACACAGTTCTCCCCTCATCCCTGGTTTCTGTCCTAAGCTTTGGTTATCAGGTGTCCACTTCAGTCCAAAAATACTAAACAGGAAATTCCAGAAATAAACAACTCATAAGTTTTAAATTGCACCATCTGAATACCATGATGAAATATGGAACCTGAATCGTCCCTTCACCTAGAGAATTCAAGCTGTTCATGCTACCTGCCTGTTTGTCACTTTTGAGATGTATTTTCAGAGACAGAGATCACATTCACAAAACATTTATTACAGTATATGTTATAGGAGCTCTGCTTTTATTATTGGTTATTGCTAATCTCTTAACTATGCTCAATCTGTACATTAAATTTTATCATATATTTGTGTGTATATATATACATATCTCTCAATATGTATATTTATGTATTTAACCTTAGTATATGTAGGGTTCAATACTATCCTTGGCTTCAGTCATCTACGGGGTCTTGGAACACAGTCCTTAGTTAACTCTCCTAGTTATATGGTAGGAGTGACAGGACAGAAGAGAAGCGACAAATCTGATTAGCTGGCATCTGAGATGGTCCTTCAGGGAAAGTCAGAGGAATAGCACCTGAGGCCTGGCAGGGCTGTAGGCGGGATGCTGTAAAGTTCAGGGATAGTAAACCAGAACAGAAGCCTACGGCTTGGCTAGGGACGAGGTTTAACAGGACGGTGGGATAGGTTTTTGAGTTAGAAGGTATAGCACCTTTTAGAAGTCACATTACAAAATGGTCAGGGTCTTCATTCTTCGCCTTCTAAGTAAGTATAAGTTCTAAGTATGTATAACTTAGAAGCATCACAGGAGTTATTTTCCAAAATGAAATTACATCTCATATTAAAATACACTTCTACCATTACTAGATAAAACAGGATTTCACCAAAGTACCTGACTAAGCAGACTGAAACAAAATAAAGCCTTCCTTGAGAAAAACTTCATAGGTTTTAAGTTTAAGAGGAATAGGTATTTTCCAACTTACCAGACAGAGGTTGGAAAGACAAATAGTATCACAAAAGCAGATGCCTGCTTAAGAGCCTCCATTTACACAACTGTTTTGAAGACAAGGGAACTTGGGAAAACAATGATTTGAAGATCTTGGTTGGTTCTGTCTATCTTAAAAAGAAGATTCATGCTGCTTGGATTTCTGAGACAGAGATACTTGAAAAGAGTAGGATTTTAAAAGCTACAAAACTAACGTGAAAATGCTCATAGCTTCTATTTACTTATGTCGTTTCAGGAACAGTTAAAAATAAAACATCTCAAAATCTTCAAATGTATACTTTCAAAATTTGATAATGTTATACAAAATTAAGCTGGTTAATATAGAGGAATTCATGGTTAGATTCTAAGACCAAATATCTGAAAACTATGCAGACACTGTCCTATATAACAGGAAAAATCAACTACAGGTATACATCCTTGCAAACTACAAAAACTGCCCAAATAGATGAATTAATTAATAAAGCTGGGGGAGGGAATGACATTCTGGAACACACAAAATAAGAATGTGTAAATTTTTATTTCCAGTTATTATAATAGTTTATAAATTATTTTGACATCCAATAAAGGAAAAGTAAATGAACCATAAATTCAGTGACTCTTCCATGAAGTGAACACATCTATATACCCAGAACAGAATGCTAAATGGTGCCACTTTACTCCATGTATAAAAGATGTACTAAGTACCCTCTTCTCATTTATTTCAAATTATATTTGAAGCAAACTTTTTGGTGAAATACACTGAAACAGATTCCCATCACTTTCCTGAGAAAAATGTCAGGAAGATGTCTAAGCTCATGACTATAAAGTGTTGCTTGCTATCTGATGTTTTGCAAGCATCTGAGGAAGTAGCAAGGAACAAAATGGCTTTAATTATGTTCAAAGAAATCTGTTTTAGGCAAGTTCTAAACTTAGCTGAAATAAACTCTGCTCAGAATTTTCCTTTAACTATTTAAGAATAAATTATTTAAAGATTTGAAAAATACACGTGTAAACACCACTAAATAAAAATCTCCCATTCCCCATCTGAGTTAAAATGAATGCCATACATATGTGTAGCTACCTTTATTTTTATTACTTAGCTTTGATTTATAAAGTCCTCAATAATTTACATTCAGAATTAATAGGAGTCTAGAATGTTAAAATGGGCTTTAAGCAATATGGTGATAATTTTTTTAAATTTCCAGTTACATGTTATTAGATGTATTAGTAAATATTTTATTTCTATAATGTCTTTACAGGACTGCTTATACATGTTTTTCTTCTTATTAGCCCTGTGCTCATCATGAAATTCCCCTTACTAAAATATTCCATTAATCTACAGGGCTTGATTTGCCAAGAAGGTACAGAAAG